GTTCCATAAAACATAGAGATGAAATCATAATTTAGCCAAGATACAGGCACAAAGATGACAGGACTGTGTTGTCTTTGTTTACTGAAACTTTCCTCCCAGAGATCTGTGGGGAACCGTCAGCAGCAAGAGCCTCCTCTTGGCTCTAGTCACTAAGCAGATTTATACTCAACACAGAGGCGCCATGGGTCAATGAACAAACACCTTTACTTGTCAGCGAGCTTTCTGACTGACACACAGCACCTGTGGGTGGCCCAAATCTCTGTCTTTGAACACCAGATCAACCCCGTTTTCTCGTCACAGACTAGGCCAATCAAACGGAACGAAATCAAAGCTTTGTTCATCAGCTCCTTTTCTACCTCTGTTAAATATGTGTCTTTGGGAGGACCACGTCTTTTATTATTTTAGCAAATCAGAAAGCAAATGCAATTAAATGTATCTGTTTAATACATGAACAAAATTTTCTACATCCAGTTTCACTTGTGATATTTTGTAATTCACTTTAAGGAGTTGCTGTCAGCAGAAATTCACCTTGTTAAAAAGCAAGCCAACTCAAATGATAAAGGATTTCTTTTAAGAGTGATTTAGCTGGTAGAGCAGGCAGAGCAAATCCTTAAGCCTGGATATTTTCTGCACATTGTTTTCTAGGGGTGTAAAGTCAGTCACATTTAATCCTTCACTAGTGCTCAAGAGATGCCCTCAATCAAATCCAGATATTCCCTGTGCCCCTGAAAGCGCCTCACAGCAGCAAATTCTCTCTGGCTCAGTGTGAGTGGGTGGGTTGTAGTCAACCAGAGAGGCAGATAAATGTGTTTTTCTTTTACATATTACACTCTTTAGCCTCGCAATAAAAGCACGGTTATGTAGTTGTTTGCTACTTTCTTGCAAATGCAGTGAATTTACTGACCGTCAATAATGGAAATGGAGGAAAATAACACAGAATCGGTCTGGATGATGGTGATGGCAGGATGGCTTGATCAGTTCTTTATGTGCAGCAGGATGCGGCTGCCAGCTTTGTTGCAGTTAATGTTTTTTGATTTAATCCAGAGCTTTCTGACTGCCCTTGCGCTGCCATGATAATATGCCCAGAGGGCTACTCATGCAGTAAGTAGAACAGGAGCCTCCCTGGATTTATAGCAAGGAACATGTTCCTCTCTCTCAGAATTAATCTCCTTAGTTTGGAACCACAGGAAGAAAAATGAAAACAAAGATTGGATCTGCCTCTCATTTTGGAGATTAAATTTTCTTTTTCCTATTTTCTTTTATTTATTTATTTTTTTTGCCTTCAGTTGTGGACACCTATTATTTTAGCATGCCGTATTTGTCATTTTTCATTAGGGAAAATTGCTTCTCGGTGCAAAGGCAGATGTTCGGTTCTCAGCAGTGTGCTGCCATCGCAAACATCTTTTTTAGTAGCACTAAACAGATGGTTGTGGGTGTTAGATTGCTGCCACTACATGACTTTTGAAAACCCTGTTGAGGGTGGTGGACTGTATTAGGGCTTTTCCAACATACAAAAACAATGTTGCTGCCCCCTAGAGAGGTTTATAAATCACATTTGGCAAGCTTTTTTGGGGGGGTGGCTGTAAAAAGCAAAAAGTGGAAGTGCAGCATCTGGACAGGAACTCTGACATCCGGGGAGGGGAAGGTATGAGGTAGATCAAGAGAGGGTGTGGTGCTTGACTTCTGACCCTGATCAGAGGGTAGGGGTCAAATGCAAAATATAGGCTGCAGCAGTGTTGCGACATGCAACCCCACGGTCAGGCCCGTCTCTGCAATTTGTCTTGACAGATGTGCCCCCTCCCTGTTTACTAAACGTGTATCAACAGGAACTGACGGGATGAATAAGACGAGCAGTAGGAAAGAAGGAAGAAAGGTTGGGAGGAAGAATTTTTTATTTATTTATTTTTTTTAATGCAAAGAAAGGTAAGGAGGCCAACAAGGCTCCTGTCTCCATACACAAGCCTGGTTTAGCAGGGAGTCTCAGTCCACCACAACAGTTTATTGAAGGCAACATGCCTTCAATTAAAGGGTTCTTTCCACATGGTGTACTCACCCCACCAATGTAACACCTCCCCCCATTAATTTCCCCCCTTCTTTACAACTTGATTTCTTTCCCTTCTTCCAGAGCTATTTGTTCTTCTGCAACAAAGGTAGGGCCTAATCGTGGTAGGATCTCATAACACCGAGGCTTTTAACTGCCAAGATCAAAGAGTGCAAGTTTGTCTAATGCGGGATTACGTTCAGATACGGGACCTGGCAGCCTCACCTCACTCCACCCCTACACCACCACCAGTGGCGGGTAGCTCCATTAGGCTCAAACGCAATGCTCATTTTTCCGCAAGAGCTCCCTTGGGCTAAGAGGCAATTATGCAGTAGTGTGGCATAATATTTCATTCTCTTCACATCGCATTGCTCTATGGTGGTTCTGGCCGCTAACAGCTTCATGTGGCCCAGGAGGAAAGGTGCAGGCTGCTAACAACTTCATGTGAGAAGAGGAAGGTTGGAGAGGGGAGGAGGCGGTGGAAGAGGGAGAGGAGAGTTCTCAAGGGCATGATGCTTCATTAGCATCGTCAGGTCTTTTTCACCTTCTTACATGGAGAGTGAAAGGGTGGGCATGCGTTTTAGTTGTGGTCAGGTGATGCTAACTAGATTTGCGACGTGACTCATGAATATAAAAATGTACACTGGATTGACAGTTTTGCTCCTTGCATGCAACAGTTACAGGGGGAAAGTCATATTTGGTTAACACGCTTAAGTTGTTTTACTTTGTATTTCCACCGCCTTTGAACAACAAAGCAACGTTCAATGCCTTCTGTTTCACTGATGATTATACATGTAAACAGAAGAAAACGTCGACGTTTTATAACTGATGTCTATAGACAAACTGGCAATGTTCCAGAAACCGGTTAATGGTGTATGTTCCAGGAGGGTACCAAAGTTTAAAAACGGAGCCCTTTCTTGAACTCTACAAAGATTGCACAAAGTATAATGTCATTATGCCCACATTTGTTTTTGTCCAACCACCATGATAGATAAAATCACCTCCACACTAGAGACCAGTAGCTTTTTTTTCCCTCCTTTTTTTTTTTTTTTTTTGATCCTGCTATTTCTTTTCTGGCACTGTAAATCCTCTCCCGCATTTCATCTTTTCATGAGTGGTGGCACATAAACTTAATACAATAAGTATTTGCTGTTAAATGATGTCACATTTATAAGGAAAATGCCTTTCTGGGTTGAACAGCGGGGGTTGAGGATGTGGGTTGTGCCCACATCTTTTCTGCCAGTTGCAAACATCATGTTTCTTGAAGAGAGGTCATTCTGAAAAAAAACAATTACTTTTTTTCTAATGCATTAGGTCACCAGGTGGTAATCATTTCTGTTTGTGCATCTAGCCAAGAATTTAAGTCTGATGGAGAAATGCTGACAAGTAGTACAAAGGTTGCTATGAAATCATACATTAGGTAGGTTGTGGGAAAAATATCTAGCATGTCATATTGTTTCTTCAAGTGATACTTGATGAATACACTGTAACACTGTTTCTGTGTCTTTATATTATTAAAACGAGCATGTCGTGTGTCAGTACTTAACCACTTTGTGTGGTGACGCCATATTGCAGTGAATCACTACATAATAGGTGTTTGTCTGCTTTTTCAAGCTATTTTTTATTACTCAGTTATACAGATATTATGGAAAATTGTTCTACAGTGTATTGGGAATTGCTTTTTTTGTGACACTGTTATTATTGTGGCTAACCTGTCATTCCTGTATTATATCAATAGTTATTCTGTGATCCACCTCCAAAACTAATGATTAAAGTATTTCTACGCTAGAGGGAATAGGCTCAAAGGATTTAAGGCTTTATGTGGCTAGAGAACTAAATTGAGGCTACAAAACATTTTATTTAAAAGAAACCACAGCTTGCTTCGCTTTTGTGACATCAAGATCAGGGGCATTATTTGGCCCTTTGACATTTTCACATAATTTACGACAAAAGTATTCTAACGCTTGTGACGGTTTCTGTTGGTTTCAAAGAGTCGTTAAATGTTACAGAGAGAAAGAAAATTGGTACTTTTATATTCAACTCAGTTCTGACAGTGATGGGCATGTTCATCGAGGACCGCTGTGTGATTTCTACGCTTTATGCAGAGAGCTGCTTTTGCATGAACTCAACCTTTTTTTTTTTTATTTCAGTGCAGACTCGCTTCCCACTTTCTGCAAATAGCAACAGCAAACTGTCACCGCCATTCACTGAATAATAGTTGTAGGAGGCGCTGCCTTTCAATTTATTCATGCCCAGTTTTGCTTTCTGACTATTGTTGATGGCAGATTTCAGTTAGAATAGCCTGCTTTTGACAGTGCTCTGTACCTGATATCGCAGGACCATCTTATGCCGGTATTAACTATTGCATTGCTTTGCTATTTTACATATGGCCTCAGACTGAGATGCTTCTAGCTGTTGTACAAGAAATGCATTTGGCATTTTAGACCAAGCGCATTCTTTTAATATTGTACAACAGTGTTTTGATAACTTGGCTCACCACAAGTTACTACATTGTTAGTCTGTTTTTTTTTTTGTTGTTGTTTATTTTCTAAATTTATTATTATATTTTATTTATTATTTCTATATTACTGTAAATTTGCTAGACCCACTAAGTGAGGGACTTGCTCAGCCTATGGATACTTTCTTATTTGAACACATAGCAAACAAAATTCTAGTCTTCAGCTTGATAGGTGATGCTAGTTGTGCCCTTTGGCCATCAAACTGATGTCACAGTTTTATTCCTGTATTAACACAGATGCTAAAAGTGTAAATGTGAGGCTACTTCTTCCATATTTCTTCCATATTCCGTGCTTTACAAGAAATATCCACTTCAGGCCTGATAAAATATGTTGCCTTTGTGTTTGCCAGTGAACCTACAGTCATAACTTTATAGCTTTCATCTATAAAGTTTTATGTCAGAGACCTAGCATTAACAATGAGTCTTTCTCATGTTTTTTAGAGATCAGGTCTGGCGGGAGAGGTCCTAAGGACGGACCCGTGAGGCAGCTACCCTTGTACGACACACCATACGAGCCAGCTGAGAACGGTGGCGACTCAGACCCTGACCGATTGCGCTGCCCCAGAGAAAGCAGACTACCCCAGGATGATGAGCGACCCCCTGAGGAGTACGACCAGCCCTGGGAGTGGAAGAAGGAGAGGATTTCCAAAGCCTTTGCAGGTAGGACTGACTGACCGAATCATTATGACCACTGAAGGAGAATATAAACCTCACTGTAACTTACGGCACAGAGAGAAGTAAGTGAAATAAATCTTGAAAGTACTGCAAAGAAGACTTTTGAACAAGAGATGCATAATGCACTTTTACTCTGAAAACATTATTTCTACCTTTTTAGTAAGCATCTTTAAAAAGGGGGAAATAAACAAACAGGATTTCATTTCGATCTGTTTCACAGTCTTTGTTCTAATGTCAAATGCTCAGACTGAATCTAACTAACGGCTCAACTGTCAAGCTTTTAACACAGCGTAATCTGAACCTGTTTCTCTTTACTAACCCAGACGTCTGTTTTTCCAGCGCTAACAAATTTGATTATGGCTTCTGTCAGGTTATGAGGCTCCCGCTGCTGCTGCTGCTGCCTTTACCTTTCTGTTTAAGCTTTTTCGTTTTTTTTCCCCCCTCTCCTCTGCACCTGCTACTTTCATTTTGCAGGTGTCCAGAACACTGTTTACTGTTTTCATCCAGCTCCTGCCTGTTTAAACTAAGTTGATACCTACGCTGCTCAGGGAGGCATGATTGGTTGCGCAGGTGCATGTAGGTCCAGGTAGTCACTGTGGTTTTAAGAGCTTCAGCATGGCTAAAACAGCCATAACATCAAACAGGGCTGTTCCTGGAAAGATATGCCGCCAGAATATAAATATGCACCCCAAATTTAAAAAAAACAAACAAGTATTTTAACCTTTTTTCAAGAAAATCAGCAGTCCTTGACTATTTTCAATCGCCCCATTTTTCTCTTCATATATATATATATTTTTGTTCTTTTTCATCCTTGAACAGCTCTGCTTTGTTATGACTGCATTAGCTACGAGGGCTCTGTAAATGGCACTGGATCAGATCCCTACGGCAGAAAGGACTCCAAATCCCTCACAGGTACCAATGGAGGCGGGACTGGGGATTGTCTCCTTTTTTTTCTTTTTCTTTTTTTTCTTCTTCTTTTTTTTTGTATGATGTTTTTAGAGCTTTTTGAAACTGATGCCTGAACCTCTGGGTTGCCACCTACTTTCTGGAAATGCTGTTTAAAATTACAAGCTTGTTTTACAGTTTATTAGCGATGTCACGATTTGATTAACATTTGAATCCTAAGTGCTGTTTTCTCCAAATGAACCCAGCGGTCACCTACTGAAAAACGCCTTGGAAAATGTTGCTAATTAGAATGACATTATCAGTATGCTACTTGCACAATCCCCCAGAGCTTGAAGTGGACTAAAAAAAAAAGAAAAGGCAAAGGCATGGTAGAAGTACTTCAGATTAGTCTTTCAGCAGGCGCACAATTTTAGGAAGTGCAGTAGCACTGCTTAAAAGAAGAGGCAATGGGGTGAAGGGTGCAGGGGTGGAAGTGAAGCAAACTGTGTTTACTCATCCGCCCTTTGCAGTGTTAATTATTCTTTTTCCGTGAAAGAATAGTGCTGTTTGGCTTTCTGTGGAAATGATCATTATACAAACTGAAAATATGACAAAGTGGTCTCTGATGCACAGCAAAATAAAAACAACACTCATGCATTATTAAAACCACGCATGGCCTCAAGGCTCATTTTGGTGTATAGTTAAGGGGGGGAACAAGTGGCAAAGCTTGTAATTTGGTTTTTCGACATGCAAAAGTAATTGCGCGGCATAGCACCGTAAATCAAAACTCACTGTGATGCAAAGTACAAAAATAATTCACATTTTTGTAATTAAATTTCTTTATAGTTTAATTATTTCTACAAATGTCTCTATTTTACGTGTCCTTTATTTTTCCCTTTGTGCTCTGAAATCACAGATGAAGTGCACTGCAATAAAGTAAAACGGTTACAATACAGAAGATGAAAGGGACATTAATCCCTTGTGGTGTTGTGCCGTTAATGGGTTGTTTCAACGGACTTAACACAGTCACGCAGTTGAAGGGAATTATGCCATAAATATCATTTACATGCACAGCTACGTTTTAATATCCAACAATAAAGCATGTAATTAATGCCACATCTCCAACCCACTTTCATCACAATTGTTGAATCTAATTTGGATGTAATGCCTCGAAGAGCCAGTCAGAGCTAGTGACTATTTCAAAACGGATCCATCCCAAATCGCTGGAATAGCACACTTTTCTATTTGTGTAGATTATTTATTTTTTATTTTTTATTATTAATGATGGAGAAGGTCTGCTCCCTCATTTTTAAGTATGTGTAAAGTCTTATGTGTCATTGCAAAGGAAACAAGCTCATGAATCTCATTTGCTGGAGAAGAGTCTCATAAGAGTATTTGGTGCATACCTGCAGGTAATGAGAGTACTGGTATGTACCAATCAATGGTGCTTACAGATAGCATAAGTTCTTGAAATAAATGAGAAAATTATCTTTGTTCACTGAGAGGTTTTTGCACTAGTTTTGAAGATTTCCACAGATAGATAGCATTCAGCTAGATGTATCTGACTGTGGCAGGAGTTGTGATTTAAGGGATTCATTGGCTCATGTTAGTCAGAGTGTAGTGAGACTCTGTAGGCAAATGTATAAAATAAATTTGTCAGTCTGTTCATTCGTCATCCTTTCATGTTTCCACTTAATTTCTGTTTCCTGTTTACTTCTGCGTACCCTCGGCCCCGAGGTTTTCATAGGAGTCGCGTTCTTTTGCCTGTGCTAGTGATGAGTTAAATAAGGGATGCTGCATTCTTAATCGCTTTCCTTCTCTCCCTCATTATTTTTCTGTCAAGCAGCACTCAGGAGAGTTTGTTTAGGGCACTGTTTACCAACACATCCCTCTTTCAACTCCCCCCTCTTACAGAGAGTGTCCCCTTTTTTGATGATGATTAATTCAATTTCCAGTGCATGTCGAAGTATATTGGTTTGGAATTGAAGAGATAAGTCTTTAAGTTGTCTTTCGAGGAAAGCTGCAGTGTAAAAAGTACTGGATTGTGTTCTGTTTTATGCTTAATTCAAGCCGAAATAATTCTCCACCATTTGAACGACAGAAAATGGAAGAAAGGGGAAAAAAGAAGAAAAACATCTCTAGGACAAGCCTTGTCAGCATGGGCTCGTTGCTTTCGCAGGTGTCAGTGCAGACCAGCCTTGGATCCTGACATCAAGGGGCTTAGAGAAAGTTTCATACCTTTCAAGCTTGAAGTTTCATGTCTCTGATCTTTGCAACAAGCTTACCTGCGACTTCAGGACATTATACATTGCTTCAATGTTTAAGTCATGTGAGCCAAATGCTTAGCAGTTATCCCCATTTAATCCCTTCTGGCACTGTCTTAAGAGTTAGGTTAGGGCCCAGCTACTCTTGTCTTTTCCCAGAGATGCTTTATTGCACCGCTGTCGATTATATTTTGGATCCATTCGTTTTCTCATTGCCAGGAAATCTGTGGCATAAATGAGTCACAGATCCAATACGGAATTGTCCTACATCCTTAGTCGAAACAGGGTTACTCAGGCAGTCCTGTAATTTTAGATCATGAACTTTCTGTGCGTTAGAGCTTGAGAAGCCTAAACGCCTTTTTTTGTAATCTAAACCTAGTTGTAGTTGAATTGTTAGATTTTCAGAACCACTAACCATTTTGCAGAAAAGTCTATACAAAAGAGTATAGCCTTTGGTTTGTGATGTTTTGACAGAAAAAAACAAAGGTCCAAATTAAAAACTAAACATACATGAACATGTAAAACAAAAACCTTGGCTTAATTTTTATCATAAGCTTTAAAAATATTACCCAAACCACCAATTTAAAGAAGTAACTATATTTTCCAAGCTTTCCATTGTAAATTTTTATCAGATTTTGTAAGACTAAATCTGATTTAAGTTTGTTTTATGCAGAATATGACAACATTTTTATTTGTTTTATATATAGATTTGTAATTGTTTGACTGTTCATGTTCAGATCTCCCTGATTTCCATTGTGGTGATGCTGCCATGCCTCCAGATGTCAGCAGTTAAGTAAATACGTTATCAGGCTGCGGTAAGTTGTGATTCCAGCCTTTCTGTGCTCAGATAGCCTGTTTTTTAAAATAGGACTAATTATAGCTCAGTGGGCTTTTTAGGTTTCCAGAGGGCACTTCTCCTCAGCAACATTTCTATAGTTGCTGAAGCACTTTGCGCCTGTGTAATATAAATGATTAATGATATTGTTCACCATTTAGATTTAGAAGCGGTTTGCTAAACCCATCAAAACCTTCACAGTTCATATTCCCACAATTATGTGGGAAATGAAAATGTCGCCAAACAAAGTATTAGCACATAATGAAAAAAGATGAACAACCTTGCTAAATTGTGCAGTAGGTGTTTCAAAAATAAAGGGAAAAAAACAATTAAATAAGTACCAAGTGCCGCCTACGCCCTCCCACAGTGGTATAACACGGTAATGCAATCTGTATAAAAGACCATTTGTCTTCATTAATGCTGGGGAGGCAAAGTAGAGTAATGCTCCTTGCTGCAGCCCCCTTTTCCTCAGCTGTCCCTACCACAGCCTGCCTGCACGCCTGTTCACAACACTTGGTCTGGTGTTATTATTCACTGTTGGACTATCTCCTGACAGGTATGCAATGGAATGTAAATCCTCTGCCTTGTTAGAGGGTTGGGAGGCTGTGTACTTGCGGTTTAGTTAATCACTCATCCTCACTGTCCCTCTCCACCCCAGCGCCACACCATACTCGGCTGCCGAACACAGGTACTCGACACAACCTCTATCCTTACTCCCTGGATGCTGAGTAAGTGATGGATGATTCTGGAGGTGAAGTGTGACCAAGATGCATTAGAATTTGACCATATATGAAGTGTTAGTATATGAGGCCCGTGTAGGGTTTGTCCATATGTCTATCACCCTGTACATTTTGGCTCTGCATATAGTATCCTCCCTCTCACAGCCAGACGTGGACACGTCGCCATTGGAAATCCGAGCGTTGTCTCAGCAGGAGTGGGACTAAGAGCCACTGTTACCTAATCTCCTTGCCCTGTTACCTGCTACTAACTCCTTTCACTTGACTCCTGGCCTGCAGGGTGCCGTGCATTTAACACTGGAGATCAGAGGCAGTGTAGTCGCTTAGCCCCTCAGGTCTTGGGGAAACTTTATGGTTTTTTAATGAATCTTCATGGGCTTAACGACCTAGAAATCTGAGATCTGATTCTAATGTTCTAAAATAAATAATTGATTCAGTTACAGTCCTACCGTGGTGTCTTGCAACAGGGTTAAAGCCAGCTGTTTTGTGGGTGTCGGAGTTCAGTTTCTCTGTGCTTGGCTGATCCGATATCCCCCACCGCTGCCTGTCACTCTGCAGCGCTGTCTCGTCCTGCTGGCCTCTGCTGCAACACCCCGCTGATAACCTTCCTGTCAGCCCTCTTTCATGAGCCTCAAATGTGTCCCACCGTTCTCTACGGAGCGCTGCTGCCATGGGTCTTATCTTCACTCACACACATTGGCCACACACAACTGCACTGTAAACCTCCCGCTATAAGTGTAGAAGCAGCGTTTTGCCAGAAAGCCCCCACGGAAGCTCCTGCTGGCCAGCTGTCAGTAAAACATCTTTCCCTTCTCTCTCTATGGAAGAGCATGGAAAAAGGCCTTGCTGTCATCTTTTAACCAGCATCCATTTTCTGTGTCACTTTCATTTTTAATACAAACGCAGGTCCTTTCAAAAGAAAGCCGGACTATGTAATGTGATGGATACAGTATACGGGAAAAATAATGAAGTGGCATTTCAGTTCCCCTGGAGCATTACACAGTTGTTATCTGTAATGATTTGAGTGCAGATGGAACAAACACGTCTTCGGAAGAGGCTGTTTTTGTATTTCGAGCTCTTCCGCTCATAATGTGCGGCATAAACATCACAATACTCCAGCTTGTTTTGAATATGCATGCAATTAGCCAGCCAAATTAAGCAGAACTAAATTAAACAGCATTGGTGAAAAACAAGCATAGCTGGTGATTTATGGTGCTGCACTGTTTACAGTGATGAAGTGCCATGGGCTAATGAAAAGCCCGGGTAAACAAATACCTGGCTTTGAGAGGGAAAAAAAAAAAGAACGGCTCCTGGAAGAACAAAGGAAAGGAAAGCGCATACCCCTATCCATTATTTTTTATTCTTTTTAATTTCTACACTGTCAACACAAACACAAAACAAAGTAAATATCCAAAGGGAGGAGGACAATGGGAGGGACATGAGTGATGAGTTTTCAAATTTTTAACATGGCCACTTTTGAGCGACAGCTGCTTCGCAAGTTCCAGGCAGGCAATAACCTGCTTTTTGTGTCAACAGGAGGAGGTGTGTACTAATATTGAATGAGGATTATCCAGGTAAGGAAGATTAGACGACAAAAAAGATCGGATGTATTCACATGAACGTTCAGAATTATTAATTGGGCTCTGCATTATTTCTCTTTTCATTTAGAAAGGTGCTGTGCAAATATGACTCAGATTATTAACACATATAACTAACCTAACCTACAAAATACACAGTATTTATGTCATACTGAGCATGATTTACATTTTCTACTTGATATGCGTGTGCGGTCTCTGATGCAGTTAACCCGTACACAGAGTACAATTTACCACACACAGACCCGATAATGGGTCTAAATCTACATTAGCTGTAAACAGGTATGTATTGATAGAGGGCAGTGTGATAGAGCCAGTGTGGGCAGTGTGATCTGTGAAAATGTGGGTTGCAGTGTGGTAAGCCTTCAGGTCCATGTGTAAATCACCTGAACTGCTGTTGTCACCTCGGTGCTAAATATGAATTTGTCCCTGCAGTGTAAAGATGCACTCATCTGTGCAGCAGCGTGGCATCTAAAGTCAGTGACAACCTTAGGAGTAACAATACCTTAAAATGCTTCACAAGGTGAGGCACCCAGGTTTAAAAAACGCACACAAACACACCCAAAACCCTGACTATTGAATCAGTTTTCCTTAATTTTCACAGTGCTAAATGCTATTATTCAGCTGTGCAACCAAGCGAGTCTGAACCACGCTCGCTGAAATCGTCTCCTCGTCCCCACACTGAGGCTGCAGAGTGGAGGCAGCCTTCTGCTCCCCAAACAATTACACGCTAATCTGCAATGTGAAATGAGTATTAGGCTTTTAATCTCATAGGAAGAGAGTCCCCTACTTCACCCCAAAGTAGAGGAAGTTATATTATCTAGCAGAGTTTTTGACCTTCTGTATCCACTCCTCTAGTCTACACCTCTCCCATCAGGACAGACAGCAAGCAGCTCCTCCTTCCAGCCACCTTTCTCTAGATTAGCCCCCTGACACCCCAGGCCCGGCTATTTAATTGCTTGTCGGATTGAATATTCTCCAGTCTCCCCTTCATCTAGCTTGCTGATATTGCTTCTCATTAACATGTCCTGTACCACCACCATGGTTCAATTCCTTTCAGGGAGGAAGACAGGTTCATAACATTATGTTCATCCTCCTACTGAAAACTAGTCTGTGCACCAGCGTTAATAGTATATCTGATTTACATCAACCCATCTATTTGCCTGTTGTTTGTCCATGTTTGAACAATTCTGTCACTCCCTTTATTGGACAGATGACCGAATATTTGCTGTATATCAGTCACAATGAGGGTTGCAGATGTTTGGGGTTTGTTCTGATTGGAGAATAGAACCCGTCTGAGAGCCTTTCTTGCCATTGTTGTTCCGTACTTTAAACTCAACGTACTGTAATGTTGGCCCCAAGAAACATATGCTGGAGCGAATATGTTGACAGCAGAACTTTTATTTGATACTGTGGTTTTATTGACTGGGACACAGACACTCCCGCTCTCTCTCTGCTGTCACGTCCGCTCCCCCTCCGACTGTCACTGCCAACATATAAAGAGACACAATCACTGTCAGATCCCAGCACACCTGTTCACCCCGCCCCTGCGCCGCCCCGGGAGCTCACTGCGTCACCCCTCCTCTGCAGCTGGCCAGAGACCACACCCACGCCACACGTACTCATCGAATGCATTTGGTTTTGATAAAGGAGATAAGAGAATGAAGGATGACATGTATTTAATAGAATGACGTGTTTTGTTTTTTGTTTTAGCTTATAAGACCTTAAAAGAAACCGTTAATAGTTATGTGCCAAAAGTAGCTGCACATTAAAATTCCTTTCTTTTACAGTACTTTCGTAACTGGAATAAAATCTCCAGCACCATGGACAGTGACCTTAGAATTTGCTCAATCGCTGTGGCTTGGATAGCACAAAGATGTCTTTTGAGACCTCTGCAAAATCTGAGCACAAATAACACAACCACTCGAGGAACATGCAGTCGTTCACCAAAGCTATTACCCATGGATTGCGTTTATTTATTAGCCTTGGCTCGATCAGTGGCTTTCTCTTGTATGAAGAAAAACATTCCCCTTTCTGTCTCATTCATTAATTATCCTTGGCTGGTTAAAAAGTGGCCCCGTGCTGGAAACAGATGTGGTGCTGCATGAGTGCTCAATTACCCTGGTAAAGCCCCAGCTGCATGAGGCATACATTATTTAAGGGGCAAAGCCAGGGTAGCGTCCATTGCCTTCATGGATTACTCTTAGGTACTTTTTAGCTACAGATATTGTCTACACTCTGACTTGGCTTAATATAGAGGCCTGGGGTCTTTGTCATCAAACACAGCACCAACAGTTACAGTAGAGTGTATGCAGCTGTGCTGTTTACTGATCTACTGTCTACTGATCATCTACTTTGGCTTAAGGCAGGTTTATATTTTATAGTTTGCTCATTAAAAGTAGAGTATTATTACTTGGGCCTTGGATATTATGCACTGTATCATGCATTAGAGCTTGAACAATTCGGCCTTAAGAACTTCTTGTTGCATCTATCTAGTGTATCTCTCCCAAGGTGAGACTGTAGTTATTGGCTGAATCTGAGTGCATTATTGAATTTGATAATTGAAAACTTTCACATTCCTTTTGTTACCTTCAGGGCCTCTCAGCAATCTGAGTATCCAGCTCTGCATCAGAGTGGAAGCGGATATAAAATCCAGCCCTACTTTTAGAACTAACGTTCCTTCCTTTCCAGTCCTCTTGTATTCCTTCCTTTTCTAGCCCACAGCTGCTGCTGAATTTTGGATCACAGTATAAACCAGCTCTCCTGCTCTTATCCACAGTATTTTTCACTTACCCCTTTTACCTTTTGTCTTTTTCTTCTGTTTTCTGTCATTACTTCCCTTTCCTAACTCGCCTCCTTTCTTTATTATTCTTGTTGCTATCGTCTCCTTGCCTCCATCTTTCCTCTGGTGACACTTGCAGTAGAGATTAAAGTGATCAAGGACCTACCATGGCCCCCTCCTGTTGGCCAGCTCAACACCAGCCCTCCCCCAATGGAGGAGCTTGAGTCTCCTTCCCAGACAGCTCAGCCCTCGCCAGGACAGACGAGCTGTGACCAGCACCACCATGGTGGGTGTTGGTGTTCATTGTCCAGCATCCTTTCCATCAGTTACCCTGGCACTCCAATCCATCTTCCTATTCCCTGTTGGCATGTTTGTCCATCCATCTTTTTGTCCATCCATCCATCTGTCCATCCGTCCGTCCGTCCGTCCATCCATCCATCCATCCATCCATCCATCCATAATTAATGAAGGCGTGGTGTTTTACATAGCATACAGCTCAGTATTTTAGTTCTACTGAACATTTAAAAAACATTACTAGCCAAACATATGCAGCTACCAAAACATAGGTAGGGTTAGTCTGCTACTGCAATGTATGATTATGTTTGTCCCAAATTTTCTGGTCACTGATGGCGTGCTGAAAGAGTTACCATATGTGAGAAGTACTGAAAAATCTGACTATAGGTATTAGCTCTGTAATGACTGCTCTTTTCCATCTGGAATACATGTGGCAGAAAATCACCAACTCCTTTGCAGGTTTTAGGCTGAAGCCTCATTAGTTTTAATTGTGCCGAACTGCCTTCTGCATGCGTAATTGCCATTCGCTGTGACCCCCATTTCCTCTTGTCAACATACTCGTAACCATCCCAGATGTCCCTCTGGCCTGCTGTTCTCTACAAGTGGCTCACACGAATTAGGAAATCAAACTCATTGGAGACGAATTCAGTTCTTGACTTATTGCCATATTTACCTTTTTCATTGCATGCAGTGGACAAGTAATTGACCTATTTTTAACTGAGAGAGCCATTAGTTTATTTTTGTAGCTCTCTCACACACTTGCCCTCTGTCTGCTGTCATTATCCAGAGAAAAGAAGGACATGTAGCAGAACTAATTTCAGGAATGGGATTTCCCCTGACAGAGTGGAAAGACTTAGTGAAGCCATGTAAGAGGACACCAATGTGTGTTGTAGGCGAGGACAGGGCGAGGAGTTGATTTATGCCCGTAAATCCATGAGAAAGGTTCTGGTTCCTTCGGTGAAGTGAGTGGGTTTAAGATCGGCATCCAGCTGTAAAGTGATCCCCTCTCTGTCTCAGCCGGTATGGCCCTAGTCTACATCTTTAGGGGTCAAAGGTCCGAGTGGTAGACTTGGGGAGGGGGCTTGATGGCCTCCATAACCCTTGTGAATACAGTTGCAATGTACTCTCTTGACCTCAGCATATAGGCAGACATTCAGTCACACATCAAGACATTAGTCATCTGTTACATGAGTCAGCCAGACTAGAAAGCTGGATAGGGTAATTTGTTTAGTCCTTAGATATATAACATCATTACCAAAATTCAAATGCAGATTGGCAGAACAAATAATACATCTACACATTACGGCCAGGCACTTTTTTTGTGGATGTCATACAGAGATTCCTATCTTTTTTATTTTTTTAACATGAATTAATTATATGTACTTTGAAGCATTTATCTGACCTCATTTTTCTTTTAATCTAAGAAACCAAAATAATTAAAAGGTATCCAGTTTTAATTTTAAATGAATTCCCCAGCGGACACTTGGTAGGGTCACGCCTTTGTCTTGGAAAACCTAATTTGGAATTTCCTTTTGAAATTTATTTAAAAGAAGAGAGCATATTCCTATATGGTTGACTCATCAGAGATAAAGCTTATAGCTTCAAACGGCCACAGTGGGGCTCTAAAATATAGTACTATAAAAGCCATCCAGCAATTATTTTAGTTCCTGGTGCGTATAATTCATATCGGCGTAAAAGTTTAACCCTATTTTTAGCGTGCGCTGCATTCTAGTAAGCTGGAAACCTGTTAATCATTTCACAAGTCCTAGCTGGAAAACTTAATTTTCACCTCACAATGCAGCGGTCGATGAAACACTTTGCCCCTCAGACTAGTCATCCTTTGTAATAGGAGTATCATTAGTAAATGAGAATTAATTAGCCGGCTTAATTAGAGAAATCTGTGCCCAGGGGGAAGAGGAGACAGTAGTAGTAGTTAAATTGTGCTGAGTCTTCAGTGACAGATGTCACTACACTGTTGTGGTTTTTATTTTTTGATTCCCTTCGTTTTTATTTTGATTACTGTGACTTCTACTTTGGAGTGTTTTTTTATGTTGTTAGATAGTGACATTATTATGTACTGTGCTGACCTGTGCCTTGCTCTGCAGCACTATATTACATAGCAGTGCTTTATCTCGTGGTTTGTAATCGTGGAATGTCCTTTTGACATTTCTTTTTAATCTGTGCCTTAGCCAATCAGCTCGCTCTGTCATGCACTCTTTCCCCATCCTCTTATGTGTGTGGGGGTGTGTGTGTGAGTGTTATTTACTTTTCTTTTTTTATATAGTTGTCTCTAAAGGAAGCTGTGTGTCTGATGGGGACAGGTCTTTCAGCCATCTGTCACCATCTGACTGACAGTTCAATCTGATACACAAATTCCATTTGCAGTGCTTTACAAGCAACAATTCTGATAACATACACAGCTGCCCATGTGCCTTTATGTGTTCATTTCAAGAGACGTGTGTTAGCGTTTGTGTGTGCGTGCGTGCGTGTGGAGGTTTTCACCCTCTCGTCCCTCTTAAGCTTCCTCTTACGGCTTTTGTTCCCCCGTGGGCCAATCCTCTCGTCAATCTCCTGTCGTCCATGTTTCGAACTGTGCGCTCTGGAGAATGAGAGAGGGGAATTGGTTTGCCTCACTCCCACTGATTTTCTGCCTTAAAACATAACTCAACATCAGTTTCGGAATGTGATGGTGAGTCGCCCAGCTAACAAAGCAGACCATTCCATTGAGCAAATAAAAATGATGGCTTTTGTTTAGTTTGGATGGCTCTTTCTTCAGGGTAATACTCTCCTTGTAGAGCACTGCACTCTGCCTGCAGTGAAGCCTCCACTTTGACAAGAAAGGTTGACGGGTTGAGCTACACTAAGAATAGCTACTCAACCCACCCTTTCTTGGTAGCGGAGAGGGGGAAAAAACAGTTTAATCACAATCAAATAAATCACTGATTGTTGTGTCTGGGTAAGAGGAGAGAAATGTGAAGAGCTGAGGTCAGGCACATGGGTGAGTGGATTGTAGATACAATATGGACTATGTAGGGAAAAGCCAAGATTGCATCCTGTATCCTTAACCCCCGATGTCTGATACCTTTTCCAGCCTCTTATGGCTGCGTCACTAATCAGTGAAGAGATGATAATATTATGTTCACAGTCAATTCTCAATATGGAAGTGCAAGTAGACGGTTTAAGGGTTTTGTTGTAGCAGTAGGTGTAATTGGCGACAGTCTGCCCTGCAGTGGGACCATCAGAGATAACAGATCAAAACATCCCTTTTTTCCTGTGGAGGCATTCCTCCACAGTCCATTTTCCCCTATCTGTTTCTACCACTGAGAGGCAAGAGAGCTCGGGGAAAAAGTCAGAGTTAGAATGATGAGGCAAGAGTGATAGAAGAGAAGGCAAAGGGCAGAAGAAGGTTGGACACATGCAAACAGAGAGAAATCGACAGCAAAGGACAGGGAGCAATTGGCTCCATCTTCATGTTGTGATCTGTCAGCATTGACAGGGGCTGAATGGAACAAACATGCATCTTCCATGTCCCCTTGGTCAGTTTCCATGGAAACGCCATTTCTTACCTTTACACATATACAATATATTCATCCGACTTGGATCAAATTCCCAGTATTCAGCATGTAATTTAAATGGACTCTGTGATATAAAATAATGCAGACACAACACGGGATCATAATGTGAATTACTATATTAGGAGCGACAGACCTCAAGGACATGGATCAGCAACTTGTATTCTTCCAAGGGTGAGACCTAGAATTTACCCAGCTGTCATGCAACAGTACAATTTTGCTGTCATTTTACCAGCCCGCTGTCGGCCTTTAATGAACAAATGTGCAGAGGCAAAGATAACAGCCGGAATGATTTGAAATAATCATTTCCATGAGTTTATGTTTGGGGAATCGCATCATTGGGCCAAAGGCCAACGAGTTCAACCGCAAGTAGAGTGCGGAGGTTAAGGGGAGCCCCTAGTGGTCAGACCTGAAACAGCTGTAATCTGTCAAAAAAAAGCACTGCTCGCGATGGCATCATTGTATGTCATAGAAAGTATTCGAAAAAGGAAAAAATATTCAGAAAGGACTACAACTGCACTATTGTAAAAATACTTCATTACAAGCTTCTCTTCCGATATCCCGAGTTAATAAGCAGTATTTCACTGTTAATTGAAGTGGCACTTCTTTTAATTACTATAATCAAAATACTTGTTTTAATTGCTGGTAATTAAACATTGAATAACTTTACACATGACAGCAACCACTAACCAGATTTTTTTGAATGGTAACACTCTTTATCATTTAATTGCATTTTATAAGCTGATCATGTGGTTTGTTTGTTTTTTGTTTCTTTTTAAATGAAATATCTGGAAAAAGAGCAGGCTCTATAGAAGCACATGTATCAGTTGTAGCTGAAATGTCATAGAGGTGAGCAATAAAGTGGCACAACATCTAAATACTCAAGTAAACTACTTGTAGTAAGTAGTGTTGAATTGATTTAAACTGTCAGCCCTTCCACTCAGCGTGATACAGAGGCACTTGGCAAGCTCACAATCTGTAAAGTGTAATGCTATCCTCTGACTGGAATGCAGAGTCTAGACAGATGTAGACGTGTTGTTAAGATCACACTGCCTGTCTCTGTGTATAGTGTCTGCCATGTTCTGCCTGGTAATTAAACACTAGATGCAAGGATGGCCATTAGTGACAGAGAGCAGCAAAGATTGATGTTGCCTAGTAGATGCGAGTTTCATACTACATTAACCACTTCCATCAAAAAAACAAAAACAGCTATCTGTTGGTCTTGAGCCATATAGAAGCAGGCGACAATAACCAGGAAAAGCTTGTCATGCGGTTGATGTAGGAAGCCGCTACTCTGTTATGGCTTGAGAAGCGTGTCAGTAGCTTTAAATAGTTTTTTGTTTTTGTTTTTTGGGGGGGGTTCAGAAGCTTTAGGTGTTATGACATGAAGCACAGTGATGGATTACTGAGGAAAAATGTCTCAAACATAGAGCTGCCTGTGACGCATGATAATTACTCTTGCATCCACTGTCCAGCCTTTTATTCCTTTAGCTTGTGCAACTCTTTCCCACAAGTGTAAATTCACATTTAATTTGTCCTTGAGAGCATTATCTTCTGTTTGCTGATTGGCTGTGAAGTTGCCCCGTGACCCCTGGCATTTCATGTGTGCGCATAGGTTACTTTAAGCCCCCAAACACCATCAAACACTTCCCTGTGAGGCTGCCAAGAGAGCTTGTCATGTCCACAGTTGACCGTGAGAGTTTGAAAAGCTAGTTCAATGTTTAACTTGCAGAACCTGGGTGTTGGAGTTGGGCGTGCACTTAAGTGTGTGCACATTTGCGTGTACTTAAAGAGTGAAAATGCTCAGCCATACAGTAGTATATATGGGATTATTTACAGGCGCATGAGCTTGTTTTGGAGGAAGGTTGCATGTGTGTATTCTGCCTCACTGGAATGTGTACACGGGCAAGCTAGATTGATTTGTCTCTTTCATCATGTGTGCATGTCCTTCAGTAGGATGAGTTAAACAGAGCGGCTCTGTGTGTGCGCGTGTGTGAAAGTTGGTAAAAGCACAGCGTGGATTTTGGTTCTCACACATTGCAGTAGTCTAGTTTAATTGATACATGTGACACCGTGGATGTTGTAACTTGTAAGCACAATTTGTTTTTCCAAGTGACCTTAATCTGAAGTGTAGCTCAATGGTGTTTACAGGTGTTTGTCTTTATTAAGAGCCATTTTGAATCATCAAATCTGTCCAGAATGAAATCTTTTCAGCTGTATTTTCTCTTATTACAGTCCAGTTTGATGGTGTGGAGAAGTCTCGAATGTCGCCCACCAAGGAGGGGAAAACTCGCCCGCTGCAGCGACATTCCAGTGGCTGTCTGGTCAACACCAAAATGACTTCACTGGACCACTGCAGCTCCTCTCTCGGGGAACGTATCGATCCCACAATGCCGCTGGAAAGCCAGTTGTGAGTCAAATCGTGGTTTTTCTTTAGCAGCATTGACTCTTTCTTACTTAACATTCCTTTGTTCCTCCTCCCTTCTCATCCTCGTTTCCTGTCGTTTGCTGTAGCTGGTACCATGGAGCCATCAGCCGAACAGATGCAGAGTCTCTGCTTAGGCTCTGTAAGGAGGCCAGCTATCTTGTGAGAAACAGCGAGACCAGCAAGAACGACTACTCCCTCTCCCTCAAGTAAGAACTCTGCTCTCGTCTCCTAAGTGACCATCCACAAACAGTATAATCAGATGCACAGTTTCGGTTGGCAGCCTTGGTGAAAATGTGATTCCAAACACTCAGGGCCGTTTTGCCTGTTGTGACAACTTGTGTCAGTGATTTGTACACGGAACACACACTCACAAAACAGTGTGACCTATCATAGTAGCTACACTTACTTAGTGGCAGAGCACACACAGTGGACTAGTGTAACATCATTCCCTGTCGAGGTGCGGACATACCTGCTGACTCTTCCGTTTCTGTATGGTAATAGCTTTCACCCTTCAGACCTCTATCCCCCACCTGCTGTACACCTTGCCCGTGGCTCGTCCTCCACCTCCGCTCAGTAACCCCTCTGACAGAATCTGCTCCTCGAATTGCTGATGTACCCGCAACTTGGCTAATGGTGCACTTTCATCGTTGACCTCCTGATCCCCGCCGCGTCCAGCAGAGGGTTAAAAAAAAAAGCTACTCTGAAATGCTACGTGTAGCCTGACAGTTGGAAGAGGTTACTTTAGCCTGAAGTCCTACAGTGCAGTCCCATCGCTTTGATAGGAATGTGGAGTTTTGCTGGATTTGTTTTGACGATCGTTGCTACCAGGTGTCACGGCTACGGCGTCAGAAACATAATCAGAAATATGAAACGGCCTGAAAGTCTTCCAAAACCAACAGTGTTTAACCGGCTTCGATATCTGTTAACAAATAGTCTCGTTAAACTGACTTTATATATGCTCCATTAACCATTGCAGGCAAGGTTCAGTCCCATGACATTTAGAAAAATCTCTGCAACTATGTGGGAGCCATCAGATGTAATAAAACTGTAGTATGTAGAGACACATTGATTAGCCTTTGTTCTTTGAGTAGAGACAGCCTGCTGGAAGCTTATATAACTTGGAAGACAAAGATAATAATTCTGCTTGCTGCTGCTCCAATTCTCTTGACAGTACCGTAGTCGACTGCCTGTGTAACTCCCTGTCTCATTGGCTGATCATCTGTATGACTGCTTCTTGTTCTGCCTTGCTGACTGAAAAGAAGACGCACTGTTAGGATGCTGACTTAGTACACTGGCTTTTGGATGACTGCAAACAGCAGGAGAAAAATATTTGTCTGAATATGTAACAATTGTCCCAAATGTTGTCATTTTGAATTAAATACATTGTGTCATAAATGCATGCCTAAAGCTAAGCACTATAAAAAAAACAAACAGACATGTTAACAGTTAATGCACAGATGTTTTATTGCATAGTCATTGTAGAAGACTGGCACACAAAACAGTCTAATGTGAAGTTACTGGGAAAGGAAAACCAAAAGAATTTTCCTTAGAGTTAGGAATATGTAAAAATGTCAGTTTAAGCAACAACTTGTTTAGTACTCAAAAGACACATATTGATGTTTGTAAAGTGCAAACCTGAATATGTGATCTAGAAAAGTAAAAAGTCTGCTTTTTTAACAAAATGGTAAAGATAACAAGTGAATATTTCTGCTGCGGGATGATGATATGCAGAGTAATGATGAAGACGAAGTTTGACGAAAGCCCCTCTAATAAGCAAAAGCCCCATTTTGAAATATGAAAATGTAGTGTATAATTTGAGCCAGGCTTGAGAGTATTAATCCATCCATCTCTCTCGTATGTTTAAAAAGAGACTGGCCGTCTAATGCCATTGGGGTTACCTCCAGTAATGAAATAGCTGATTGTTAGATTATCTGAGTGAGGGAGAAGGGAGGCGGGGGAATGAGGAAGGCCTGGAGCCATGAAACTTATTTAGCTTTTTTTTTTTTTTTATACTGAACACAGCCAGGCCACGATAAGAGCAATGGTCAGTAAAGTTGTATTTAATGACGAGAGGTTAAAACATGTCTTAACCTTCTAGTTCAGTAATGGTCTCATTCCACTAATCCACATTTAAAGGATGTTCAGATGGCCTGTACTATCAGAGAACAGTTTGGAAAGTGTTTTCGTGAGGTCGGATCCTTCTGCTCCCCTCACACTGCGCTTTTCTGATGGTTACTCTTTTAAGAGATACAACGTTGACTGGCTTCTGTGACACATTTAATAGCTCAGTCTGAAAACAAGGAGAGGAGAAAGGCCATGCCGATGAGGTCATTACTGTTGATGCAGAATTTTTTACTCGTCTCGACTTAGTGAGAACTATACAATAAGGTGTCTCGAGCACTTTAGGAATACCTTTTCACTGTCTGTTAGAGCGTTTCGCTCCAGGGCCTACTTTCAAGGTTTTTTGGAACCTTAAGTAGAATGAGGTTTAATGTTGCCTGGGAATAGCTGTGGTCTGCCAATAGCACTGGAAATCAGTGGTTTCCCCCTGTTATTCCACACCCTGTTGAGGGAGCTCACTTTAACCATATGAGATCTTAAAGTTGTAAGCAACCAAACATCTTAGGAGTTTAACCTTCTGATTTTTGTATCGATAGACTTAAATAACATCAGATTGTTCATCATTTCTGTGTAACTGTGCGTCAGCACATTTGGGTTATAGAATCTTGTGCCCTTGGTGTAAACCAGCTGAAACCTAGAAAACGACCTTCATGCTCATTTGTGGAAATGGCAGGTCCCTACAAATATGAGTTCAGCCTCCTCACTCAAGCCCGTCTCCCCTGCTGCCACAGAAAATGAGTGGAAACCCAAGGTGAAGATCCGACATGTCTGAGGTTACTGAAAAATGTATGAGGCCGCGAGGTGCCACATATGTGTATTGCATTATTGATAAAGACAGACGTCACTGAGACCCCCTGCCTCAAGAGTCCTCTGGCCTTACGGAAAGCATTTTTTGTCTGCTTTGCCCTCCTAAACCCCTTTTTATGTTCACCTGTCCTCACCTGCTCCTCTTCTTTACTGTCAGTGGAGAGAACTTTTTTTTTTGGTATTTGAGTTGTATGAAAGCCTTCGCAGGGCTTTCAAAGCACAATGTCATTTCATTTTTCACGTCACGAGAGAGCTCTGCAGAGCCTGTTTCCACTGGTTGAGGAGGGGAAATGTATCCCAAAGACTGTTTGATGCCAGTGGGGTAAATGGGGTAACTTAGCAACTTACTGGTGTGTTCTATCGCTGTAACCTCTCCAAAGACACTATTTTTGAACATTTTTAGATGCAAAATGTCAGCTTCATATTATGACACATAATAAACGACTGACTGCATAGAGCACAAAAATTAGCCTGACCTTTCTCAGCCGAAGAACAAAGCTATGCCAAGAGTTGTTTGTATGTTTATTTGTCTGCCACTTCACCCACTTACCTTAGCGTCAATAACGTACAGAATGGTATCATCCCAGGGAGGTTTAGTGTATGCTAATATAAAATCATGAGTACATACGACATCCGATGCCCAGAAAGGCTTAAAAAGGTCAGCCCTTTTGCTATGGTTCACTAGCTTGTTGGAATATGACTTTGCTTTATCTGCTGCCTTAGATTCATAACACAGAGAGTATCAATCATGAAGCCATCCAATATATGGAAGGTGAAGATAAGCTGTGATTGCTGTCAGGCTGTTCCTGCTCTGAGTGGTACTCGGTTTAAATCAAAGTCATAAACCTCAATAAACAAGACAGCACACCTCCCCAGTCAGATTAATCCTGATTAGACAAATATAAGTTCACGAACACAGTGTTATGATAACACCACAAAGGCCTGTCTTTTCAAAAATAGCCCCGTATTCATTTTATCAGCAACACTGCCGTGTTGCTCTGTTGTCCTGGTTTCTGTCTCTGCAGGACTGTAACATAATAAGCAGCTTTGAGCACCAACTGGAAAATCAGCTGGGAATCTAAAAATGATGCTATTGATGTGTTTGGCTTTTTAAGTGTGCCTCTGTGTAACCTAACACCTTTCTCCCAGCGCTCCATGTGAGGATTCATCAAATGCTCTTTGCATGAAAGATTTTTTTTTTTTTTTTTTTTTTGGAAATGAGCTCTGAAAGCACCATTTGCAGAATCATAGCATTTTAGAGACCCGTGGCAACGGAAATTTGGAAATCTGCACAATAATGGAGAGGTGGCACTCGTGTGTATTTCAGTTTAATGGCTTAGAAATCCTGCAGCTTTTTGTTTCAGTTCTTACACATAAAAAGCTCAGAACTAGCTTTGAAATCTTTTGGATATTTATAGTAATAATCTCAATCATGCTAACCCCAAAACACGCACTTCTTTATCTGTTAAAATAAATAAAAATCTGTGCTTTATTTCTGATCAGTGTCCCTAAATTGAACCTGTGTGTGTATATGTATATATGTATGTATATGTGTATATGTGTATATGTATTTTGTTGTTGGTTTTTTTGTTTTTCCTTTCATATTACTGCTATCTTTGTTCTGGGTTTTCTCTGTGCATCAGAGAGAGAATATATCCACCGGCATCATACATGCAATTAGGAGATAAGTAAAGAACGGCCTGATGCTTCAGGTGCCTAAAGCCAAGTTGTCACTCCTGTTCATCAAAGATAATGGGCATAACTACAAAAATATGCATATATTTACTATGGAAAAACATAAATTTATTTGCTGTAGTTGCTTCATGTGGCAGCCTCATCAACAGCCTTGACAGCCCACTGCTCCTGTCTGTTGTGGTTAGTGCATTTTCATAAGTAAATACCTTTACAGCTGTTATCCTTGCTTGATAGGTTAGTGAAAAACAGGAGTTTTATTACTACATGTGGTCAACATATTATCCCCTCTTAACTTTTGCACGAGAGTTTATTTTCCAAAAAATAAATGTTAGGCAGGTGCTGGTGCACTTTATTTTTGAGGACAGGTTATAATGTCAACGAACAGTGCCTAAAGCAATCATAACCTCCTGGAGGCATTAGCTGCTGATTGAAAAAGCTGTTATGCTAATGAAGTCTGTAAAGTCAAATTACTAAAAGAGAATATTTACAAAACATGCTACAGTGAACATTAGTTTTGTGTCACTTACTCACTAAAGCTTACTGTTGCATCTCTTCCCAAGTGGGGAAAAAAAAGTAATTTTCTCTTTTAAAGCAGAAGATTACTGGCAAGCTTTAAAATGTATTGATCGAAGGCTCCTTGGAACACGCGGGGAGCTTTTAATTTGCTGTGCATTTATTGCTGTAGCTTGAGTGATTTATCCTGGGGGTTCATTAGCCTCATCCTTATGCACCGCATGTGAAACCCAGCACCTTAAGCAACCTGCCTTTTAGTCCCCTCCCCTGACACCTCCAAAGTTATCAGAGTAATCCAGCTTTCAGAGCGTTGTCACATACTGTGGGGAACAACTACTGGAGGAGTAAATGAGGGGAAGCTGAAAAAAGAGGATATCTGTTGGGACTCCCATAGATTGATGCTTTTGACATACTTGTTGTCTCTTGTGAGCGTTTTTTAAGGCATGCTTGTGGTGTGACTCCAGGAATGGCAATATCAGTCTGCTCGCTAATCGGTCAATACGTTGTTTTGATCCATACTGATGTCTCCCAACTACAGTATTTAGAACATCTACAAATTGGCTTGACTGGCAACAACATCAGATTGACATTTGTGGTTTTGAGTGAAATGTCTTTACGTCAGCTGAATGGACTGTCATCAAATTCCTTTTTGGGTGAAAGGACAGAGCCTGAAGCAAGGAAAGGCCTCTTTGCTCCCGAAATATAGGGAGTGGGGACAAAACAAATAATTTTTTTCAAAGATTTTTTTGTGTCAGAGCATGATAAAAAATAATCTGGTTTTGTCTTGTAAAGATCAGAATTTTGTTTTGAGCTTTTTCTGTCTTCCTCTGTCTCCAGGAGTAGCCAGGGCTTCATGCACATGAAGCTGTCACGGACCAAGGAGAACAAGTACATCCTGGGCCAGAACAGCTGCCCTTTCGACAGCGTGCCTGAGATCATCCATTTCTACTCCAGCCGCAAGCTGCCCATCAAGGGTGCTGAACATATGTCCCTGCTCTACCCTGTAGCCATCAGGACACTATAGTGCTCCAGGTCTCTTGCAGGCATCTGCTTTGCAGTACTTTGGGCCAACCTGTGGCTCGCTGTTTCCTGTCCCTCTGGAAAGAGCCCACTAGGCTCACGGGAAGATGAACAGTGGCATCCTAAACTGCTGATCTTGACTCACCTCACTGGCCAACAGATTCCAGACCTGTTTGAAGGCCCTCTGCTTACTATCTCATACATACAGACTCAGATTTTCAGAAGTTTTTTATTATTTTATTTTATGTTATGTTATTTTATTTTATTTATGATAGACATCCGCTTAGTAGATCAGACTGACTATCTACAGAACATCATTTCACTGACTGTTGAGCTGATTACCCATAGCACTTAAGACGTAAAGAAAAAGAAAGGTACAACTTAACGTTTGTCACTGGGATTTATCTTTTAGCATAAACTGTTGTACCCTGTGTCCTGTGAGTACACAAAATGACGATTATATATGAAATGTGTGTTTGAGTGTCTCATTCGGTTAGGCTCTGTTGCTACTGTAATCATATTGCAAAGGGGATTTGAAGATTATAAGAACTCTGTAAGGGAAGCAACATTTATGATGCATGTCGAGCAATATTGTCCACGTGTGCCTCATACAGTGGCCGGGATATTAAATAAACTGGCTGTGTATGAATGGAGCGTCCCCAGCTGCGTGGAAAGAACAAGCCTGTGAGCTGTGCAGACTGATCTCTCTATCTTGTCATAGTGCATGTTGTCTGCTATCCATCATTGAGTGGGTGTATCACACCAGTGACAATGTAAGTACCGTGGTGTTGAGACAGGCAGGAGAGCATGATGGATGGGTCAACCCATCTGACACAGTACATTTGGCTGAGGCTAAAGACCAGAGCCTGTCCAAATGGACCAAATTATCCCCACTACCCCTGCTTAGAATGGCTTTGCGTCGGGAGAATGAAATATGCTTGTATTGTCTACCTCAGAAAATCAATTTCATTCGCCCATGTGCAGATCAATAGGTACAATGGGATTGCAGACATCGATCTGCTCTCTCTTCGACATTCCCAATTCCCTTAAAGAATGCATCATTAGTTTTAGGAATATGCTTTTTTTTTTTTTATATACAATTAATCTGAGATTTGTTTTATGAAAACACAAGCAGTTTTTTGATTTTTGTTTTTGTTTTTTCAGATCAGCAACTGTATGTATAGTCACTATTATAATACTGTGCAACGTCGGTAAGAAATGTTTGGTTAATGCCTTATAAAATGCATGGGTCAAATCAGTCCGCTTAGATCAGTTGATTTCTAATTCTGCTTTTAACAATTGTTCTGTGACTGTAATTTATTCTGGGGTGATTATTACTGATGTGTTACTCCTTTGTGAT